AAACCACAGTTCCCAGGTTTCTTTGGGAGGGGTGTTTTAAATATGCTTTAAATGTGTGGTGTGTATGCAGCCTTGAATTCTGTTTGCCTTCCATGTTCATTTCTAAAAACCAGTCCTTTTCAAATGATTGGGATCTGCCTTTTTACATCCTACTGGGCATTCCCAAGTCATTGGGTGTATCCGAAATAGCTCATTGGGTCATGGCCACAGATGGCTGGTTTACAGAATGCAAGAGTAAAGTAGGCTATATTACTATGGACTACAGGTAGAGACGCAGGTGGCGCTGTGGGAAAAAACTCAGCGCCTAGGGCTTGCCGATCGCATGGTCGGCGGTTCGAATCCCCGCGGCGGGGTGAGCTCCCGTCTTTCGGTCCCAGCTCCTGCCCACCTAGCAGTTCGAAAGCACCCCTAAGTGCAAGTAGATAAATAGGTACCGCTTTATAGCGGGAAGGTAAATGGCGTTTCCGTGTGCTGCGCTGGTGCCGGCTCACCAGAGCAGCACACGGAAACGCTGGCCACGTGACCCGGAAGTGTCTCCGGACAGCGGTGGGCCACGGCCTCTTAAGTGAGATGGGCACACAACCCTAGAGTCGGACACGACTGGCCCGTACGGGCAGGGGTACCTTTACAGGTAGAGGACGCCTTTTTTTAAAATAATCCCTGCAAGCAATACCCCAGCACACCAGTCTTCCTGTGCTACTTTTCTACTTGAACAAAATTGGACTTGGGGATGCAATTACATTTTTAAGTTAGAGGACTTGAATAGCTGTGAGGCTTGCCGTTCAACTGTCCATTGACTTTTATTTGCATTCTTCTGTTAGGAATTAATTGTCTTTTGTACTGTTAGGAGAGATAAAAGGTGTTCAATAGCTTTTTTAAAAAACTGGGGGAGCATTTGTGAAGAAAATCAAAGCTGAAACATGACTGGAGTTAATAAGAAGTAAATGTTTTTGTTGCCATGTTAAATAGCTGTGAATGTGCTATAAAGATATAGGATTTGGTTTGACCTCACCAACCTCTGCATCTGGCTATAGAAAAATAGGCCCTGGCAGCTTTCTAATGGGGTAATGGGTCATCAGCCCACCAAAGATTCCCCACCAGATCGTAAATGAACAATAATTCAGCAGATCAGCATTCTGTCCCATTATCCAAAAATAAACATCAACGTTCAGTCAATTTCTTAGCTTCATCAGTGGCCAACGACTAGGAAAGTTTTCTGCCAGTGTCTGTTCAGCAACGCATACCACAACCACTCAAAACATAGCTGGTTATATTTTAAGCCTGTCTGACTCCAGGCAAAAGGGGATGAATTGAATAGTCTTCTTCCATTCATAGAGGAATATTTGATCTAGGAGAAGATTCCACTAATGGAAGAGTAGGCAATTTCTGAGGATAACCCCTGCACCCTTGAATATTTGCTGCAGAGGGTTGCACGGCATGGGAGATTTAGCATTTAGTACTCCAGTCCTCCTAGTGATGTATGGAAGTGAGAGCTGGACCATAAAGAAGGCTGATCACCGAAGAATTGATGCTTTTGAATTATGGTGCTGGAGGAGACTCTTGAGAGTCCCATGGACTGCAAGAAGATCAAACCTATCCATTCTTAAGCAAATCAGCCCTGAGTGCTCCCTGGAAGGACAGAACATGAAGCTGAGGCTCCAATACTTTGGCCACCTCATAAGAAGAGAAGACTCCCTGGAAAAGACCCTGATGTTGGGAAAGATTGAGGGCACAAGGAGAAGGGGATGACAGAGGATGAGATGGTTGGACAGCGTTTTTGAAGCTACCAGCATGAGTTTGACCAAACTGCGGGAGGCAGTGGAAGACAGGAGTGCCTGGCGTGCTCTGGTCCATGGGGTCACGAAGAGTCGGACACGACTAAACGACTAAACAACAACACTCCAGTCCTTCACTGAAGTAAATACTCTTTCACAACCAGAATGGCTCCTCCTGTTCAAAAAACTGGCACCGTTGGATATAACCTTTTGTTTCCTTGCTTCTGACCTGAAAATGTCCTCTGTGTACTGCTATCCATCTGATGTGCTTTGATAATAATAAGAGTTTTGAGATCAAAGGTACTCAAGATTTCCTTAAAAGTGAGATTAACATCTACGTGAGATTTAAGGTGGTTCAAAGCACTTTACTGATGGTGTTTAGAATTCACAGAAAGAGAATGCATTATTAGCTTAAATTCAACTGTCACTGAGAATTTTTCTTTACGCTTTTGATACTACCCATTTGGATTCATTTCCCCAGACAGCCCATTTTGTTGCCAAAATGACCCATTATTCAGAATTGTCATTCCCACAGTCTGCGCTGGTGCCTGACCCTGAAGCCTCAACGTTGCATGGGGGAAAAACACATGCCTGCTTGTTAAAGAAAAACAAAAAGTCATTTCATTTTGCTGTTACATCTCACCAACACCTGAAGCTCTCCATGGCATTTCTAAATTCAAGCTAAGTGGTTGAAGAAGAAATAGAAGGAGGAGGAGGAGGAGGAGGAGGAGGAGGAGGAGGAGGAGAAACCTTGAAAGGTCTCAAGAATCTTTTTATGTTGGTGGTATATTTGTAAATTGCATTGTGACATAAAAGCCTATTTATTGATTAAATAATAACAACAATAACAACATACTATAAAATATCTAAAGTGGTGTACATAATGCTGCTGTGCTTATATTATCAGGATAACAACTTATTTCAGATAGGGCCAGCCTACCCATGAGGCGAACTAAGGCAGCTGCCTTGGGCAGTAGAATCCCATGGGGGCACCCTGCCTGACCTTGCCACCGTCCCCATTGGAGAAGTGAGGAGAAGCTGGTGCATGATCCAGGTAAGCAAGACTTTGGCAGAGAGGTGGTGGAAGGGGACAACACCTTCCTGTTTTACCTCAGGTGGTGAAATGGGATGGGCCATCCCTGATTTCAGAGGTTGCCAACCTAGTGCCCATGGACACCATGACACCCATGAAGGCTTCCAATGGTTCTCCAGGGTAGGTACTCCAGACTCTCAGCTTTCATTTAATACATAAAGAGTCCCTACCCCCCCCCCAGAAAGAAAGTTAGGTGGCAAAATCATTCTAAGTGATTTATGTGAAATAAATGGTGCAGCTACCTTGCACCTTTTTTTCTGGGGGGAAGCTCTGTTTTGTTATTATCCAACAATTGTAAGTGTGTGTGTGTGTGTGTGTGTGTGTGTGTGTGTGTGTGAGAGAGAGAGAGAGAGAGAGAGAGATCCATAATTAGGACCAGCAGGACAAGGCCGACTTCCCATGTAAAACATAAAGTTCTCAGCAGTGGTTAGCTATTTTTGTGTTACACTATACTCTCCATGGGACGCGGGTGGCGCTGTGGGTAAAAGCCTCAGCGCCTAGAGCTTGCCGATCGAAAGGTTGGCGGTTCGAATCCCCGCGGCAGGGTGCGCTCCCGCTGCTCGGTCCCAGCGCCTGCCAACCTAGCAGTTCGAAAGCACCCCCGGGTGCAAGTAGATAAATAGGGACCGCTTACTAGCGGGAAGGTAAACGGCGTTTCAGTGTGCGGCTCTGGCTCGCCAGAGCAGCGATGTCACGCTGGCCACGTGACCCGGAAGTGTCTGCGGACAGCGCTGGCCCCCGGCCTCTTGAGTGAGATGGGCGCACAACCCTAGAGTCTGTCAAGACTGGCCCGTATGGGCAGGGGTACCTTTACCTTTACCTTTTATACTCTCCATGGCAGCCATTTTGGTTTATGCCACACCCGCTCCATGGCAGCCTTTATGTGACCCCTAACACTCTCTCAGTTTCTGCATCTGAAATGCACCCTCTAGTCCATAAAGATTGGTGACCCCAGCCTTATTTTGAAAGAAAGAAAGAAAGAAAGAAAGAAAGAAAGAAAGAAAGAAAGAAAGAAAGAAAGAAAGAAAGACACTGCTTTGAAATTTCATAGTGGTTTCCAAATTAAAAACACATACAGGAGTACGAATTACATGATACAACAACAACAAGGCAGAAACTCAAACGATTTAGGGTATAAAGAGATGCAATAACGGCCAGTAAACAAAGCAAAGCATACAACACAGCAATGGTTGGTTTTCAAGAGGACTTTTTAAAAGCCAACTTTGAAAGGGTAGCAGGGAAGAGGCAGCACAATCTTTCCTGCAGAGGGCTCCTGCTCCTGGTGGATGCTCATCTAGCATCCCCCTAAAATAGGATCTGTAGCAGGACCTTGTCAGATTATCTTAAGTGGCAAAATGACAAAAGCCTCATATGGGAGGAGGCATTCCCTGAGATAGTCATATATATTGGAAGCATGTTTTTTCACAGAAAAAGCTGGAACCATTCCAAGCCTATGAACCTATTCTTTTTATAGCTGCATATGCCATAAGATAGTAGGAAGCTATTGGGTTTGAATTCTTGCTAGAACTTTGAATTTGGTTGACCACTGTTAGAATGGGATGCTGGACTAGGAAAGGGCAGAGTCAAGGGATAAATTTAGAAAATTATGATCCTATACACATTAGCCTAGGAGTGAATCCCATTGAACTCAATGGGACTTGGTGAGCTCCATTGAAAATGGGACTTACTTATCAGTGGACATGCAGAGGAATACACCATTAGGCAATCTGTGTATGAGAGAGAACCTGAAACTCAGGAGGCAATCCAATGCATTAACCATGGACCTGAAAATCCATTTTCAAGAGGTTTTTCTCAGAATCTTATCTGTTTTATGACATGTAGTACCTATGATTATAAACCTTCTTCCCCCTCTTCTATTCCCTCCATCTTGTGTAGCTTCCTCTAACAATTCTGAGTCCACTTAAATCAGGATCCCTGAAGCTTTCAAACATGCCTTTCAATAACTCTTAGCTTTGCCCCAGCCTTCAAGCACATCTTTTGAAGAAGCAAATTGTGTGCATGACTTGCCAGATGTAAGATAAGAGCCTTTTGCTTGGTAGAGCAAGTAGTACCTGTCAACAGCAACAATTTCAAGAAAAGAACAAGTCAGCAAATATGTATTGGGTTCTTACCACGATGTAGATCTGTGGCTTTCGTCTTTTTGCCAGGTCAATGATATTGACTCCATTGTAATAAAGGTTCTCAATGCAGCCATGAAAATTTTTCTTCAGAAAAGTTCCTGGTTTGCCTGGGACTGGGATTCCTCCAAAACTGAGCTTTGGGACAAGAACAAATTCAACACTCTTATAAAAAAAACCTCTAATAGCCATAACATGGAGAAAGAGAGAGGGAGGGAGAGAGAGAGAAAGTTCTTGCTTGTGGTTACACAGGGAAAAACAGACCATAGAAAACAGAATAAAAAAGTTGTTTTATTCCAATGTCCTTCATTGTCAAATACTAAATGACAAAAAGAGGACAAGATTTAGAAGGACAAATTTCAGTAGATGAAGACTTTTCATTGCCTGCCACACTTTTATGGTGTATTTATTTTGCAGCTTTGCTGTAAAGCAACTTCATGCTCAGAAAGAAGTTTGGCTAATCATCAGTATGCCTGATAGGACAGGATGAATCCTAAAATGAAATTAAGAACCAGACTGGCAATGAACAAGCAATACTTGAGAATGTTTGGAGTGAAGTTCATTTAGAAGACATCTGAAGACAGCCCTGTTTAGGGAAGTTTTTAATGTGTGACATTTTAATGTATTTTTAATCTTTGTTGGAAGCCGCCCAGAGTGGCTGGGGAAACCCAGCCAGATGGGCGGGTTACAAATAAATTATTATTATTATTATTATTATTATTATTATTATTATTATTATTATTCACCCACAAGAGAATTCTAAATTTTCTGGTCATTGCTGTACCCAAACCTTTGATGCCAAAAGCCAATTAAACATTAGTCCTGGTCCCCAAATTGACCCAGGGCTGGATCTGGGGCTAGATGGCACAGAGCAGGTTTGCCTCATCCAGTGGTGTTTGTTTGCAGGGGTATGGATATCTTTGTACAGCTCTACTTCTGGGTAGAATTCCAGTTCTGCAGCAGCCATGATGAAACCTTGAACCAAGTGGTCTTCATGCTGGTTTAATTAATTCAGAACATCCCCCCCCCCACTGGCTTCGTCAGTTGTGGCTCTGCTCATTGCCAGCAACCCTGTCAGAAAAAAAGGAAGGTGTACGGTTCAGTAGAAGATTATCTGCTTTACAAGCAGAAGGTCCCAGGTTCATTCTCTGCCATCTCCTGGTAACAGCTAGGAGAGACTCCTTGGAGGAAACCTTCAGCAGCCGCTTCCAGTCAATGTAGACAATATTGAACTAGAGAGATGGACCGATTTGGTACCAGGCAGTTTCCTACAATGCTTTAGTGGGGGATGAATTCCATCCAGCACAAGGTAAACACTGCTACCTGGACAGGCAAGCCACCTACTTGTTTGGTCTGAACTTCAATTTACGGACCCTCAAGCAGTAAATGACCAAGCTTTAAGCTGGTTCAGTAATTCCACTGCATCACCTGAATCAGATTTAAAAGGTAAACAGAGCTGGGTGACATATTGACGACACCTCACCCCAAATCAGCTCACTGTCATGAATTAAAGAGTGGGGGTGGGAAAGATGGGATCCTGTGGCACACCACAGCAGAGAAGCCAAAACAGAGCTAAGCAGTAGTCCCCCAGCATCAACCTTTGGAAGTTTTCATCCAGTGGGAATAGCTTTCCAAGATGGATACCATGGCTGATAGTAGCAGAAGCTGCTGAGAGGCTTGGGGGGGGGGGTGATACAGCCTCACCCCAAACACCCACACCCACATATTTCTTTTGGCATAGGTCAGAGGTCCCATCTTTTGTTCTTATGTTCAGTTCCCAAGTCTGAAACTCATTTGAAATGCATATGGTAAGGTCATATTTGAGGAAGAAGGCAACAAAACCTTGTTTCAAGTACCTCTGCACTATGATAGTCATGTGTAATTTTAAGGCCCATATTAAATGTAGCACTGGCAGAAGGAATTCTATTTAAAGACTAGCTCTTTAGCTGGGGCTCATTATTTCTTACTTCAGACACTTTGCAACCTCTGCTCTTTCTTCCTGAGGGTTTTTTATTATTATTATTTTTAATATTTTTAAGTCTCTAGCTCAGGGATCCCTTTCTGTGGATTTTTTTTAAAACAAAAAACCAAAAAACCAGGGCAATCAATATCAATTACACTGTGCCTTATTGGAAAAAAACAGTTTCCTTAGTGATCAGTAATATTTTTAATTACCAGACTAATTGTTTTAGTTCCCTTAGCTAGGTCTTTAATCCCTTAAGTGTGCTAAGATAAAGTTTCATTAGTCTAGTAGTTGCTGGGGTGAAGCAATGGAGATATTAAAGCTAAGGAACAAACCTAGTTTCTTTTTCTGAACTGGTCTTTAGTTATAAATTGGCCTGATGCATATTGGGATTTGTATTATGCTTGGAACTTAACTCAAAGAAATTCATGGGAGAAATTCTACGGACTGCAATAAGGATGGGTGCATTTCCATGTCACTTCCATATGTGTTCACTCTTGTCTGTTCCTTTCCCATTTCTGCATTAATATTTAAATATATAATATGATGGAAAATCATAATTTAAATAAGCACTTCTAAACATATTTCTCCCATAGCGTGTATGCAAAATATATTGTGATACATGATTTGAATGAAGAACGGTGTTTGGAAATTTTTGAAGCATGAAAGTACATTGATAGCAGGCCAAGTCAGTTCAAATTAGATTTTTCCAAGCACCCATGAAACAGAATAAATCAAAGTATATCACCATTGCAAAGTTACACATGGTCAAGTTCCACCGAATCAGTGGAGCTTCACTGTGACCCAGTTCACATGTAATACCAAATGATGGTTTTATGTTGCATGAGTGAGAGTCATGTATTCAAGCCTAACTTGTCAAATGTTCTAACTCAAGGACAAAATAAAATAAAATAAAAAGTTAGCTAAAGGGGGTGGAGAGGCAGCGAAAGAGAGAGGTGAAGAGAGTGTGAGCTTGAGAGCTGTATAATCCTTCTAAAATGGTACACATTTCTGTTCCAAGGCAGGGATCCATCTTGGCGCAGAATGATGCAATTCACACCTTTGCTGTGTTGCATTTGGTTGCTCATGTCTGCCAAGCCACTTGGACTAATGAGATTCCTCTGTATTTGTAGGCTGCTTGCTTTCCTCTTTCTCTGCCCCTTTCCCTAGCAGTTTAGATAATTCTGCTGTGCTTTTGCTAAGTAGGTTTTGTGAGTAGTCACATTAAGCGAGCATGATGTTCCTTGGATGCTTAGATGCTGTAGCCAAATGCTGATGTTGCTTGATGTTGTGAAGAGAGAGAGCGGGGGGCGGACTTTTCAATGCACACTTTTGGCTCCTTTCCTCTTTAAAGGATTTGTTCCCGGTTCACTTTTAATTCAAGAGCAGATGGCTTACCAGTGGCAAATTACAGGTGCTTGGCTGACCTTGGCTGTCATCCTGTGCACATTGTGAGGATGACAACCCCGACACCCTAACACTGCAGCAAGGAAGGGAGCTGTTCCTCTCTTCTAGCAGTAATTAATAACTGAACTGCATCATACCAGATGTGGTGTTTAGGAGAGTTTAAACCCCCCCCTTCAATGTGGCTTGGAGACAGTGCAAGAGTTGCTATTCTTGTGTGCGATTAGCTTTCTTGGCACAAACTTTCATGATAGGAGAATAGAAAATTGTCTTATACTGAGTCAATCTATTGGTTCATCTAGCTCAGTAGAAGAAGAAGAAGAGTTTGGATTTGATATCCCGCTTTATCACTACCCAAAGGAGTCTCAAAGCGGCTAACATTTTCCTTTCCCTTCTTCCCCCACAACAAACACTCTGTGAGGTGAGTGGGGCTGAGAGACTTCAGAGAAGTGTGACTGGCCCAAGGTCACCCAGCAGCTGCATGTGGAGGAGTGGAGACGCGAACCTGGTTCCCCAGATTACGAGTCTACTGCTCTTAATCACTACACCACACTGGCTCTCTGTTTGCATTGACTGTTTGCATTGATTGGCATCAGCTTTCTCTGGTTACAGGCAGTGGACACTCTAGGGCAGGCATCTCCAAACTCGGCCCTCCAGATGTTTTGGGACTACAACTGCCATCATCCCTAGCTAACAGGACTGGTGGTCAGGGATGATGGGAATTGCAGTCACAAAACATCTGGAGGGCCGAGTTTGGGGATGCCCACTCTAGGGTCTTCTGCATGGAAAGCAGCTGCTCTACCACAGAGCTACAGCCCTTTCTCTAATTTCATGTGTGCACTCCTTCTGCAGTAATGGAGTAAGTCAATCATTGTTTGATAAAATAGCACCCCTGCTATCACTAAAAAAGCCAGGTTGGGTTGGAAAGCTCATCTCCCTGCATCATTTCTCTTAGGACAGCATACGCTACACAAAAAAAGTCTGACGCACCTCATAATCAATGTTCAAGTCATCCGAATCTCCCTTGGTTCGGAAATGCTGCATATACTTGTCCACCGTGAAGTTCACCTGCTTATTGAATCTCTCGATGAGGACCGAGTGCCAGTGCTGGTCATCCAGGAGGCTGCCCAAGGTGACGGACGTGTGACTGTTGCTGAAACGCAGCTTGGCATCTCCTGCAGGGGCAGCGAAAAGACACAAATTGCAACTGACCCATTGATTCTAAGTTTACGGTACCATGCTTCCGAAATGATTAGCAGCTAATACGTTTTGACTGGTACCTGTACGCAGCCTTGACTTTGCCACCACCCCATGCAGAGAAGCAGCAGCAATATCGTTATCAACAGCACAAGATAATATCACCAAGGCAACTATCGGTAAGCAAACAATAAACATCTATAAAAATGGCAAAAGTAGTTTCTTTCCAAAATAGGTTTTATCTTAAACAATTGCAAATGCAGTAATAAAAAGTCCACTTGTGATATACCCCATCTTTGTTCTAAAATAGTGTTCAGGGCACCTTACAAAAATTGCACTCATGCCTACAATATATGCATACAAACACACAAACACACACACACACACACACACGGAGAACCTAAAACTGTATTTTAAGAAGCAGCCAATAATCAACTGAACCATTACAGAAGGATTAAAATGATCATGTAGTGCAGAAATCATGGGTGACTAGACTGGTTGGGTCCCCATGACTTCCTGGAAAAGTGTGCCATTTTCTCTCACATGGTAGGACCCTACAAGCAGATTAGCACAGGGGAATAAGTCCTTTGGGTATTCCAGCCCCAAATCATGTACAGTTTTATAGGCCAATCTAGAGCTTTTATTGTGGTGACAAACATACTGGCAACCAGTAGAGATCTTGAAGAACCAGCAAAATATGATTACTGCAGTCAGTCCCCGTCAATAAATTGACCATGTTCAGTTGTGACAAGCCAATCAGCATTTCTATTTTGTACTCCCTCACCATCACTGTTACATGCTTTACATTGCTTCCACATTCCTGACACGTAAGAGCAAAAAAGCAGAATGACCTGGTGCTGCCACAGGACTAAGGAATGGGAAACAAACCCTAATTCACACTTTCTGAACCAATATGTGTTGTGAAATGTTCAACATGTTTTGCATCACAAACACACACACACAGCTGATAGAGAAATTACAAAACTTAGTGTTGTATTCAATGTAGCTGTATGATTGGGGTATGTATGTGCAGTCTCTGGGCACTTTTCTTCCAAGGAAATATTGGTGGCTCTTGACTTCAAAATGTTTGTCCATTCCTTCAGTCCTAATGCATAGAACTTCAACCTAAATGGCCTCCCTCTCCTTGTAAAATCAATGGGATATTCTGAACTCTCTCATGAAAAGCAGAGTGACTAATAGTGTCAAAGAACTCTGTTTAAAACTTCCTTTCAACAATGGATATTTTACAATTGTAATGCACTAATCTCCTTTAGGTATAGGAATAATAGGCATCATTTCTGATGGAAAAATAAGAAAGAAAGAGATTAGCTGAGGACAAAGCATGTTAATGGGTTTATGTAACAAGGGGAAAGCTCTTGAAAGTTGTCACAAACATAATTAATCAGAAAAGGGAAGATGAGAAAAGGCTTAAAAAAACCTAATTCTCCTTTTAATGCTTTTAGCTCAGTCTCTTCAGATGAAAATAAAATCTACTTAAATATAGCACATATCAACTGATCATAGAATCAGATGTCACCTCATTTTAACCTAGACTAGGGTTGCAATCCTACACACACTAGCTATGAGTCAGTCACTCTGAATGGGATGTGTTAGATTGCATCTAAAGGTTCAAATCTTATATACACAACTGGAGTAAGCCACACTGAACATAGTGGGACTCACTTCTGAGTAAATATACACAAGTATAAATCAGGGTGGGCATAGGGTAGACTGTGGTCCATTGATGAACCATTAACCAATTTCTGGTAGACTACATACCATATTTACACAAATTCAATGCACCATTGAATCTAATGCACACCTCAATTTTCAAAACCTTGAAACCAAAAAGTATTTTCTGGCACTATCAAATCTAATACGCACCCCTAATTTTCAAGATATAATTTGGCCAAAAAAGGAATGCATTACATTTGAGTACGGTAAATATGGTAGTTGTTGAGTTTATTGCAAATAATGCTAGTTGAGGTGGCAAAACACTTAATGTTCTCAAACTAGAGACCATTTTCAGGATACTTAAATGGAGTTGGCCTCTTAAGTGTAAAATCCCCTCTTTAAAGATTTAATAAACTTTGGTAACTATTGGGATTCTATTTCTTTTAAGTGCTCACTATGAACTTTATTGAATTTAAGGGTGTTCTACAGGCATCCCCAACCTGCAGCCCTCCAGATGTTTTGGCCTACAACTCCCATGATCCCTAGCTAACGGGACCAGTGCTCAGGGATGATGGGAATTGTAGTCCAAAACATCTGGAGGGCCTAAGGTTGGGGATGCCTGGTTTACCATCTTTGCAAATCTTCACACTAGGGCAAGGATGAGGGTGAGGTGCACAACTATTTGCAGATAAATCTAACCTGGTTCTCTGTGATGGAATAGGTGCTAATTCGTACAGGGATTATCTTCTCTCAAATCAAAGCATTGTTGCACTTTTGCTATTACTACTGTTGAAAATGCCTGTTTTTTATGTGTTTGCTTTGTCTGTTGTTTCTTTTGCTTAACATGAAATTTCACAGAAAACTATTAGACTCTTTCTTAAGCGAAACATCTGAACAATTTCATGAGAAATAATTGGAACTTTGAGAAGAAATTTCTAGTGGTGGGATGATAGGTTACATGTGCCCATGCTGTTGGTGAAGCATTCACCACTAATTTATAAGTGGCAAAAAGTTAATGTACATAAAAAAGGCCCCAGAGCAGGCCTTCAGAACTTAAGCTACCATGCTAAACTGCAGAAGTAAAACTGCAAAAGGAAAAGCCTTGTTCCTTGTCTAGCTACCAAATTGGAGAAGTAGGCATTGGGGGCTATCAAGCACTCAACAGGTCACAAGACAAGGTTGGTGGGCTGCATTTGGCTGTATGAATCACTAGTTATGTAGGCATGCCTAAAATTCACCCATCTAAAAATACAGATTGAGAAATATTATTAGTTGCTGCCTTAACTTTAGGAAGCTTGTCACTATGCAAGATGTGTGTCTTCCGGTAAGGAAACTTCTTATGAGAAAGCACTATTGTGCAGAAGAACTAATATGATGAAATTCATTTTGTTATTTTCAAATGTCTCTCTAACATATACTGCCTTGGTTCTTGCTATGTATTGTTACAATCTGTCTAGTGCTCTTTTGCCACCCACAATCTTCCTCCTACTTGCCTGATGCCCCTTATTCCTTTTGTCATTTTAGAATTTTGATCTGTTTCCTAAGGGAAAAGAGAGAGAGAGAGAGAGAGAGATTGCTATGCAATGTTGTTTTAAAATAATTTCCATCCATGTCTCTGATTAAGGGAATTTTAGGCCTGGGGGTCAAATGCATCCTTAATGGACCTTGGGACTCTCCTCAGGCCACACTCCCTCCTCTCTGAGCCATATCCCTCACTAGCCCTGCTTTGCATCCTTAGCTTTTTGGGGGTTTCTTTTGCCAGGCTGTCCTTGAGCTCTGATAACACTTCTCGCTTGCCCGGATGGAAGATAGATAGGGATGTGTCAGTGTGAAGAAACTAGTCTATTTCAAAGATGTTAAATTCATATTTGTTATTATGCCAACTTTTGCCTCTGATCCCACCCACCAATGGTTTGTACACAAACACACACGCAGAGAGAGAGGAGAGAGAAGCAAATGAGGTCCTCAGCCTGAAAAATGTTCCTGCCCCTGGGATATAGTATAACAGATCAGGGAAACCATTGCAGAAGACAAAATCCTCTATTTCTGAAGTAGGAGAATGTGGCTCAGGAAATATCACATGATACTGAATTATTATGATTTAACCACAAGAGACAGCTCTCTTAGCTGACAATAATGAACAGTTGCACTAGGTTTACATTTCAAAAGGAAGGAAGAAACAAGAACCAGAAATAGGAAAATAGGACGGGTTTATTATTGTTGTTATTGTTATTGTTTCTCCTTGAGGAACCTGATGCTGTCTTTATGCTTCACATGAACTCTCTTTCTATACACTCCAGACATTTACTCCAGGCTTTCTTATTTTCCTTGCTTGATTGCATACCGATAGCTGAATGCAGCACACACAGCTAACGCACCTCGCCCAAGGCAGGGGTTCAATTACAGGGAATCAAAGACCTGTTTTCTGCGTGGACAGAGATGACCCAGCGCAGTGAAGAGCTGCAGCAGCTGTGAAATGAATCCTTGAAGTGGACAGATGGGCAGGAGCACAACCTCAGCCCTGAAATGATCATCTGAGAAAAGAATCATCTTCTAACCAAAAGGAGGGAGGGAAGGAAAAAGCTTTGGTAGGCAACACAATTGAATCCTTGCAAACTTGTCTGTTTGCAAGTTTACCAGCTGTTTACCAGCTGTTAGTGGCTTTAGTTCATTAACTATTTGCCTCTTAACAGATTAATCTGATAGCTAATTAATGAGAATAAATAAGAGTTGCCCAAACCTGACTCTAAGAAAACGATGCCTTATGAGGAACGGCTAGGGAGCTGGGCATGTTTAGCCTGGAGAAGAGGAGGTTAAGGGGTGATATGATAGCCATGTTCAAATATATAAAAGGATGTCATATAGAGGAGGGAGAAAGGTTGTTTTCTGCTGCTCCAGAGAAGCGGACACGGAGCAATGGATCCAAACTACAAGAAAGAAGATTCCACCTAAACATTAGGAAGAACTTCCTGGCAGTAAGAGCTGTTCGACAGTGGAATTTGCTGCCAAGGAGTGTGGTGGAGTCTCCTTCTTTGGAGGTCTTTAAGCAGAGGCTTGACAACCATATGTCAGGAGTGCTCTGATGGTGTTTCCTGCTTGGCAGGGGGTTGGACTCGATGGCCCTTGTGGTCTCTTCCAACTCTATGATTCTATGATTCTATGATTCTAAGAATATATAACAAATAGAACTGGATGAATACCAAGCACAAGGAATCACCAATTATGGCTATGTAACCACATCTGTAGCAGGAGGAATGCTCTATACAGGCAACTCCCAATTTACACAGGGGGTTATGTTCCAAGGCACTGTGTGTTTAAGTGAAATTGTGTATATCTGAAACATCTTTGAAAAAGCCTGCAAACACCCCGTTCCATCCACTTCCCCGTTCTGCCCCTTTTGGTGATGTTTTTGGGTCACTTACGAGTTTGTCACGATGTGAGCATGCACAGTTGTGAACATATTGGACACACCAAAAATGTTTGTTTTTTGGTCTCCCTTGTCCTTCCCAGTAAGCAACAGTGCCCCTTCTGCTGCAAAGCTAGCATTGCATTTCTGCCACACCAGGAGAGCCACTTTTGGGTGTGGCATATTCCATTTGATGTCCTTGGAAGTATGACATCATTTGGGAGAAATGCCTTCCTGTCATCTATTACCTAAATTCGGCAAAATGTCCGGGAATATCTGAATGTATGGCAGCCCAAGTCAGCAGTGTCGTTCTTGCTGATTTACCTTCAAAATAGCTCAGAAACATTTTTTTTTTTTTTTGGTGATTTTGGCAAAAAAGCTCAACAGGTTTGAGCAAAACTAAAAAAAAAAAAAGACAACCCTACTATTACCTCCTTAAATCCTTGGCACCACCTAGTCCCTAGACATAATTCTCTATATATGTCTAGCACACTGAGGTGGTGGAGAAATTACATTGTTAATCAAATGACTGTGGCATGCATACTTTTTATTGAAATCTTTGGGATTTCTAAAGGCAAGGCTAGAATGAGGTTCCACTGCAAATTTTAGAGAGGGAAAACTGATCCTATTGAATAAATAATACTGCTATTGCCCCCAGAACGTCACATAAATCATTATTGCCTTTCTAAAATACTAGTTTCCCTGTGCTTCTGCTGTTTGCAGAACAATCTCAAAATGAATCAAATGATCAAAGCCTTAAAGAAATCATATTTCCTAACAAGCTGACAGGCTAACAAGCCAATTTTTATTGATTTTCTGTAATGAACACACGCTGAAGCAGACCATGTATAAAAGCAGCTAAGGAGATTTGCAATGATACAATCTAAGCAAATCAACCTGCATCAAAGAGAAAGCATACCACGTGTAGGTTAAGAAGCAGTGGATAGGTAAGGAATCAGCCAGGTACCTATGGAGAAGGCACAGCTAAGTGGAGTCAAATGAAATCTGTGTCTGCCTCCAGATTAATGTCATTCAGGCAGCAGGACTGAAAGAAAACACCTCTATATAGGTAATCCAGCACATAGTTAAGCACATTTAAGGTTGCCGTCTTTGCGCAGCAGGATTCAATCTCATGGAACTGTTGAATAAACATGTTTTAGGACTGTGCTCCATGTCACACTGAATAAAAGAGATCTCGCAATCCTCAACTGCGTGCTGGATTTTCCCAGAAACTACTTGTCATGCACTTGTTATCTGTTCTTCCAAGGCTGAAGTCCTATGCACACTTACTTCGGAGAAAGCCTAGCGAGGGGTAGAACTGCCTTAATTTGCTCATGTCTATTTCAGACACAGCCCTCTGAAAACCTGTTAATTCCCCATTTGCAACTTAATGTGTGATTTAAAGAAACACATACAGAATTTCATTTTAAAAACTGCTTACAATTCCATACAGTGGTCCTAGGGCTGCTTTTTATTTTGTATTTATCTTTCGGTTTGTGGTTTCCATGCTTACAGCAGCTAGAAAGCAGGTTGAAAATTGCTCCTAAAATGGTCTAGGAAGTAACGATACATCCTTGCATGCTTTGGCTTAGTAGATGGCCACAGCCATCTTTTCCCCCATAGGCATTATTTAGTAAATTTGTATCCAACTTTTGTATCCAAAGGCTCCCAGGAGCAGCAAACACAAACATGATAAAATGCAATTAAAAAGCCACACAAACTTATTTAAAATATTCAGAGACAATTAAAAGCATCTTAAAAATCACATACTCCTGACAGCTGAAAATGTCAAGGAACAGCACGTATCTGTCATTTTATGCCTAGGTAAACATTAATGTTTTACCACCACCCAGAAGGCTCTATCATGAGTCAACTCCAAATGGACATTACACAGCAGCAGTGCCACCAAGTGTCACAAGACCCAAGATGTTTAATATTGAAAAAAAGTAGTTTCTTAGGTTGGTGTGTCTAGAGCTATTTAGAGCTTTACACACAAGGACTAAGATACTGAGTTGGGTGAGGTCACTTCTGGCAGCCAGTGCAATACTTCCATACTTATCAATTAGAATGACATGCAGTTGCTTCTTGGACCACTGAACTGCACTAAAGTCACTGTGCTTTTTGGTTGCGCCTAGCAGCTGGGAAATTGTAAAGTTAACAGAAATAATAAAGAGCAGATCACATCATTCATATTCTGAAGGGGTATAAATTCTGGAGCATGCCAACCCACACATTGCTTCAGGAAGTATGGACTCGGCAGCTTAGTTCCAGATTGCATAGCATACCACCCTCAAATCCCGCCCCCATCCCTAAGTGAATAGGGATACTTATTTCAGAGTATTACATTAACATACTGCTCATCTTACTGATTTCCATGGGACACCAACTACACAATCAGGCAAAGAACTTCAGCCAAGGAATTTGATTTGAACATAGCACATAGATTGATGAGAACGTCTTGAAGATATCAGAAATAACTGATGGCCAGAACATTGCAGGTAATTTGCAAATGTTAGTTCTAGGTAGTTAACATGCATGTTATGTTCCTGGGCATAAACAGATGTCAAAATGCAGTAGGCTAACACTGCACACCCAAAAGCTCAATTAATGGCAGCTGTAGCATTATTTTATAGCATCTGCAGAGTGCAGATCATGTAGGGAGCCAATAGATGTATAACTAGTAAAGAACTGGCTCTGTGCTGAAGCTCAGGGGGCTGGGTCAGTTAGCATGTTACCTGCCACAGTGCTTATGTATAGATATGCCATCTGTACAGCAAGAGTGCTTAGGACATACTCCTTCAAAACTCAGAACTATATTTTAACAAATTATTTAAAAAACAACAACATAATAAGTATGTCAATAGATTACTCTCCTTCTCCCAACTCTTTTTGACTAACCTGTCCTTAGAATATGCAGATTTAAGGAAAGGATGATGAAGAAGATAACAACCACCACCATGCTGAAAAAGATGCCGAAATGTTTGAACATACCCAGGTTGATGTGCAAAGAGAGCTTCCCTTTCTGCAGCTCCAGTGTAATATAATCTCCACGCTGCCCTTCTCCATGAAATAGGACCCCATCTCCCTGCATGCTCTTGAACTTCAGGGAAACAACATCTTTGAAGGTGCTCATCAGTTTTTGGTTGAACCTGTAAAGGAGGGAGCTCCTCCCATCAAAGTCGGCAATATCCGATTCTACAGGGGAAAGAAAGCAAATAAACATTAAGCAGGAAGGATCAATATATATGTACAGGTGTCCAGAGCAAAGCCCTCCCCTGGCAGCTTACAAAAGATAATTAAAAATTTTAAATCAATGTTTGAAATGCAAATGAAATGAACCAGTTGGGGGGGGAAAGACTCACAGCATTTGTAGCAAAACGTAATTTGAAACAAAGTCATTTAAAAGAATTAGGCCATGTGTACTTATTTTGGGAGGGACGCGGGTGGCACTGTGGGTTAAACCACAGAGCCTAGGGCTTGCTGATCAGAAGGTCAGCGGTTCAAATCCCCACGATGGGGTGAGCTACCGTTGCTCGGTCCCTGCTCCTGCCAACCTAGCAGTTCAAAAGCATGTCAAAGTGAAAGTAGATAAATAGGTACCGCTCCGGCGGGAAGGTAAATGGCATTTCCATGCGCTCCTCTGGTTCACCAGAAGCGGCTTAGTCATGCTGGCCACATGACCCAGAAGCTGTACACCGGCTCCCTTGGCCAGTAAAACAAGATGAGTGCTGCAACCCCAGAGTCGTCCACGACTGGACCTAACGGTCAGGGGTCCCTTTACCTTTACTTATTTTGGGAGAGAGTTCTAAAGCTGAGGCCACTTCTGAAAAGTCTCTCTAGCACTTGTCTCTCTAATGTATTTTGATGGTGGACTGATGAGGAGAAGCTCAGAGGCACGTTTCCATGGGTGTAGGTGGTTTGTCAAACACCCTGTTCAAGCCGTTTGCAGAGAGATGTTAAAAATCCTTGTCAGAACCCCTGCTAGTTGATCAGCACAGTTGTTTACCACAATCCCCAGCACCACATCTGGACCAGGGGCTTTACTGGGATTCACCGCCCTCAACGCAGCTTTCACTTCATTGTCATATAGAATGAATGGCTGAGAGTTTATAGGCTGAAGGGAAGGAGCTACTATACCTGATCTTTTAACCTCATAGCAGGAGAAGAAAATATTTAGCTCCTCTGCCATTGAGTCATCAGCCTTAACCGTGTTCCTCGTATTGCCCTTATAATTGGTTAGGTGCTGCAGTCCCTGCCACACTTGTTTCATGTTGTTATCGGCTAAGCAATTCTCTACTTGAAGCTTGTGTTGTTGTTTTGCCGCCTTAATGCCTTTCCTGAGCTTTGTTCTTGCCCCTCTGTATATATCTATGTTCCCTGCCTTAAAGGCAGAGTCGCGGGCTATCAAGAGTGACCTTACTTCAGCAGTCATCCAGGGTTTACAGTTCCCATACAAAACAGGTCTCAAAAGAAACTCAACAGAATAAAATACAGATAAAATATACAAAAAATACAATGTTAAGCCATGTAGAATAACAGAATTCCAAAAATGTTTCCCCAACAGCAAAAACAATGACAAGTTCTACTGCACCCCATAATGAGATGAGCACCACAGTATAGGCTAACGTAACTACCAAACGCCTGAATAAGTAAAAATATATTTTAGCCTGGTGTCTAATTGCAACAATGATGGCACCAGACATGTTTTCCTTGGGTCAGTAATCCACTAAACTATTGTATGATGTTCATATGTCTCTTCAAGTTGAAGCCAATGGCTTCAAGTTACAACAAAGGAGTTTCCAGCTAAACATCAGGAATAACTTTCTGACAGTAAGAGCTGATCAACAGTGGACCGACTCCCCTTTCTTGGAGATTTTTAAGCAGAGGTTGGATGGCCATCTGTCATGGATGCTTTAGCTGAGATTCCTGCAATGCAGGATGTTGGACTACATGACACCAGGGTCCCTTCCAACTCGATGATTCTATTATTGTTCTAGGCATCCCTTTCAAAAAAGGTCATTACCTGAGCCACATATATATAATGAATCTTAATCTGAGCCATATATCATTAGGTTAACATTTGAGAACATTTCCTTTACACAAAGTGAACTGTTAGGGATGCTGGGACATCTCCTAGCATAGCCTAATTAGAGTGTGAATCATGTTGGAAGATTCCAGTTAGACAAAAGGAAATACTACTTCACGTACTGCATACTTAACCTACAGAATCTGCTACCACAAAGCATAGTGATGACCAATAAAATATAATTGGGAAAAGCCCTTAGTGATGACCACTGACTTTAAAAGGGGATTGGACAAGGTAATGGAAGACAATGATATCAATGACTATGATGTCATACAATATTGTAGGAAGTGTAAGAGAGAGAGAAAAGGATGCTGAACTAAATGAGTGTATGGTCTGAGCCCAGCTCTTGTATCTTCATTACTGTCGTACCTTGGTTCTCGAACGCCTTGGCACTAAGATGTTTTGGCTTTTGAAAGCCGAAAACCCAGAAGTAAGTGTTCTGGTTTTCGAACCCAGCTTCTGATTGAGTGCAGGAAGTTTCTGCAGCCAATCGGAAGCAGCACCTTGGTTTTCAAATGGTTTTGAGTGTTGAACGGACTCTGGAAATGGATTAAGTTCAAGAATCAAGGTTCCACTGTAGTTCTTAAGTAAGAAATCCCTAAATTAAAATCTTGCCTGTCCACCAACTTAATACATAGCCTTAGGCAACATGCTACCTCTCACTCCCAGTCCCAATCTGCAGTATGTGGACTTCTCCTGCCTTTCTCATGTATAGATCACGAGCTCATGTTTGGCAAAGGTCCTTGAATACTCTACAATGCTAAAAATCATTATCTTCACATGGGTGAATTGTTAATGCACAGTGGCTCACTGCACAAATTGGACAGGCCATGTCTCTACCAACTTTTTCTTCTGATGTTTGTGGTGGCACGTGCAAAACTGTGTGAACTTCTGCACAAAAGCATTTCTTTGCAATGAAAGCTGCAGCCACATCAAGTCACATAATGCCCCAGCCTTCTCCCTTTAGCAGCTATATTTGACATCAACTTCTCAGAATTTGTAAAGATACAAAACCTTGATCCTATTAACTGATTTGGTTGAACTGAGGCACAGCAGCCATCTAGAATAAAATAATTTCAATACTACATGGTCAAGCCTACAAATCTTTAGGGATTCCATAGTCTTTGGAAATATTTGTGCATTCAAGTTCAGTGTCAAATCAGTATATTCTGCTGCCTGAAGCAGAGACCAAATGGTGACCATCCCTCGACCTATGCAAAGAGGTCCATCTCTTTAAAAAGTCATCCTGCACCATTCAGATACAAATTCTGGCCTTTTTTTATTTCCCACTCATGGTGGCACCTGAAAAAGGATGCATCCTCCCCTTGCATGGCAGGTCTCACCCAGCCTATGACTGTGTAAATACTGTACCTTTAAAACACACTTGAAGCATATTATTTCCCTCAATGAGTTCTGGATCAGTAGTTACAGTTCCCAGCAATGCTTAAACCACGGTGTCCCAGATTCTTTGAGGGAATGAGGGCTGTGAATGTGCTTTAAAGGTGCTCACAATCTAAATTCTTACTGCTTTGAAACAATACATCCACATCTTTTTTTTCAGACTGCCTTCTTGCTCTTTTAAGATGCAATTATGATATTAACCAGTACAATCTTTGTGCTTTTTGCATCACATTCAATCTTCTGGTGCCTATTCCCTATTTGTTTTTCTTAACGCTCTGCTTACCCACCCCCTCACTCCAGCAAAAAGATAAAATAAAATCCATCAGTTGGTGACTGGTTATTTCCAAATGAGAGGGGAAATGAAAATAATCCCCCTGATACTTGCAAGGAATGAGTTGTGGTTTTTCTGCACCATACCAGTGAGAATTGCCATTTTTCATTTAAGGCAGAAAAAGGGTTTTAGTGAGCCAATTCTGATTCAAAATAAGGTGAATGGCACCAGCCTGACTTACTGCGGGAGAAAATCAATTCACATTTAAAAGTGAGCTTACCTAAACTGCACCATGTGTACCAAAACACAACCACCCATTGAAATTCGCACTTCTGCAAATTTCCAGCCAAATAATGTCTGCATATAACTAGGGCAGGGGTCAGCAAACTTTTTCAGCAGAGGACCAGTCCACTGTCCCTCAGACCTTGTGGGGGGTTGGACTATATTTTCTGGGGGGAAATTGAACGAATTCCTATGCCCCACAAATAACCCAGAGATGCATTTTAAATAAAAGGGCACATTCTACTCATGTAAAAACACGCTGATTCCCGGACTGTCCGCGGGCCGGATTTAGAAGGCGATTGGGCCAGATCTGGCCCCCGGGCCTTAGCTTGCCTACCCATGCTGGCTAAACAAGGCTTCCTTCAGCTGTCTTCTAAAAGTCAGATAGTTGTTTATTTCCTTGACATCTGATGGGAGGGTGTTCCATAGGGTGGGCACCACTACCGAGAAGGCCCTCTGTCTGGTTCCCTGTAGCTTCACTTCTCGCAGTGAGGGAAGGCCATCGGAGCTGGACCTCAGTGTCCAGGCTGCACGATGGGGGTCCTAGTGTTGTTGTTACTTTCTCTGGGAAAACCCATTTTTTACTGCTGAATCAGAGCAAATGACAATCCACAGAAAATCCAATTGCTGTTTGCTCTGATTCAGTGGTAAAATATGGGGTTTCCCAGGGAAAGTGCCAGGACAAAACCAAAAAAACCAAAACATTCAGACACTCAGCTTTAAATCCTGGACCTATGCCTAGAAACGTGGCACAAAAGGCAGTCTGGATGAGCCGTGAGAGAAACCAAAACTGGCCGATTTGCCCATCCCTACTAAGGGGTAGTGGGAAATTAAATGCAGAAATGCAATGTCTGCCCAATGACAAGGCAGAGAAGAGCTTCCTATAAACCAAAGTTGGAGTGGGGTTAACTCTACTACAAGTTTTAATGGTTTGTTGTTACTTGGCAACGGCATATTGTGTATGTTCTCATCCTTCTGTATACATGGATTCAGTAGAGCAGCATTGTCATGTGGTGGGGGAGTATATTATGTCAGACTTCTGCTCCACTGTTGACATGAAATCTGTGGGGGAATGAAGAACCCTAAGCAAAACAAACAGATGACACCTACAAAGCTAGCACTCATGACATTCAGAAGTCATCAGTGACAGTTTGC